TGAACACAAAGTTATTCTGTCTTTTCTTTTTTGCAGGAAGCATATATGTAGACTAGTTGTTGCTCTAATTATTGATAGCGCAAATGTGTGCATGTATCCAAGAAGTAGGATATCGATAGATTTCTATATTATAATGATTTATTGTGGGAGAGGGATTCTCCTATTTATTTGACGTTGCATCCAAAAAGGAAAGAGGGAGGATTGTACACAGCAGCTGTTGTTTGCCAAGGCAGGAATGCAGCAAGGCAAGGCAGTGATGAAGTCAGGAGAGTTCTGAGTTGGCGGTGGCAGTCTCACATGGTCCAGACAGTGGAGGCTGGCCCAATTACGGCTAATGGGGCACAGCCCTCCCAAGGAGAATGTCAACCCATTGTTGTCAACGCCAAAAATATCAAAGCCATACACTCTTTCCTGTCTCCCTTCCCTCCCACATGTTATACTTCTATTTGACAGAAATATTTGCAGAGCTCCTCTAAAGTCAATATAATTGTTCTCTGGCCAGTCAGGTTTCTATACTGCTCAGCTAATCCTAATCCAAAAGTGTAAAGGTAAAGGACCCCTGACAGTTAAGTCCAGTTGCAGACGACTCTGAGGTTGCAGTGCTCATCTTGCTTTACACACCAAGGGAGCTGGCGTTTGTATGCAAACAGTTTTTCTGGGTCATGTGGCCAGCATGACTAAGCCGCTTCTGGCGCAATGGAACACCAAAACCAGAGCAGCGCACGGAAACACCATTTACCTTCCTGCCGGAGTGGTACACACTTTTTGGCATGCTTTCAAACTGCTAGGTTGGCAGGAGCTGGGACCGAGCAACAGAAGCTCACCCCGTTGTGGGGATTCGAACCGCCGACCTCCTGATCGGCAAGCCCAAGAGACTCAGTGGTTTAGACCACAGCGCCACCCACGTCCCTAGCTATGGCAAAGAGGTCCCTCCCATGTGCCACTGGGCAGAAAAAAGTCATGTGGCAGACATTTAAATTGCAGGGGGAGTGGCCCTTTCTCCAGCCCCTGCTGGGAAGTCTCCTAGTCCATCTGTTGTTAGGAGGGCTGACTAGCAGTCTGTCAGGTGGCAGATGAACCAGCCCCCACTGCAGGTTGCCAAGAACGGACAAAACAAGGAAAATCCTTACCATCTGCTTTTTATTCAATATTCACACAGAGAGGCTTGGGAATGCAGCCTCTTGGGATAATGGCATTGTCCCGATTGAGTCTCCGCCCCCTCCATCTCTCCCACTTCCTCATGAATCATCACTACAGGTGCTGAGAAGTGCCCTCTGCCTTTGAGCTCTTTGCTCTCTTACTTTCAATGCTTGCCGGGTTCGGGGGGGGGGGTCTGGAATGCTTTCTAAAGACACTGTATCTGCCAGCTGTTGCCCCCTGGTGCTTCTTCTTCTTCCTCCTCCTCTCCCACTATTTCCCAGCTTTCCCCCCTCATCTGCCTCTGAGCTGTGATCTCCCTCAAATCCCTGTTGCAATTCTGAACTGTCTTCTTCTTCTCTGGAAGAGTCAGACTGGGGAGGTGGTCTCCACTATTCCTCCTCTGCCCAGTCTCTGACAGTCTCAGTATTGGCCTAGTAGAGCCGCATGTCCAGATCTCTTCTATCTTTGCACCTACATACAAGTGCTATTCACGTGCAGTTCTATTACAGTGGTACCTCGGGTTAAGAACTTAATTCGTTCTGGAGGTCCGTTCTTAACCTGAAACTGTTCTTAACCTGAAGCACCACTTTAGCTAATGGGGCCTCCTGCTGCTGCCGCGCTGCCGCCACGCAATTTCTGTTCTCATCCTGAAGCAAAGTTCATAACCTGAGGTATTATTTCTGGGTGAGCGGAGTCTGTAATCTGAAGCGTATGTAACCCGAGGTACCACTGTATTTTAAAAAATGATTTTCTCCTAGAATGCTGTGCCATATTCTACCATATTCTTCCTATGTGGGGTCATGGAATACACACAGCAAGTGAAAGCAAGTCCCAGTAGTGGCATTACAATGAACTGTTGAATCCCTGAAGTGAGCAATTCGTAGCAATAGATTAGTAAATCCTTAGATTTTTCTTCAATTTAGACACGAACTGCCACACCTACTGCATGCTTCAGCCTTAGTAAGATCTTGTTGTGTTACAGTTAAAAAGTAACTCCCGGAGTACCAATGTTTTAAAGTATGCACTCCCGGCGACGCCCCACAGCCCACACTTAAGTTTCTAAATACCAACTGAATCTATTCAATTAGGCTCATAAAGTGGCACACAACTGGGTTTGGAAATAATATAATAGCTGAAACATAGCAAATGCTAATCTTTTGTGCGTTACAAGAACATTTCCTATGCTGGCTGTCCATAATTCCGCCTAACGGGAGCTCAGTGGCACCACTTCCCCTGACTTTCCCCATAAACAAGGATAAAAAGAGGTAATGCACAACCACCCATAATAATATACAATTCTTACAGCCAGTGAATAAACTCAGTAATTAAGAAGATGAAGCCTGTTACTGCTGAAATGAGCTAGAAGAGTGACACTTAAGCCCACACACAGGCAGTTTTCAGGCATCAACTAATTAATGCTTACAAAACTCCTGTATGGTACGTAGGTAACTGGAGGACATGCTTGAAGGGCTTGTAAAGAGAGTTTTGCTGGAGTATTTTTAGCCGGCGAACAGTCTTCAAAGCAGCCTGATCCAGCGATATTGACGGAGTCAGGAAGTGAATGGGAAGCAGGAGATGGAGTCATAGAAAGATCAGAGCTGGAAGAGTTCCAGGGGGATGTTGCAGCTGAATCCCTCTGCTTCTGGCAAAGGATGCTCTACGTCGGGAGTGGGGGGGGTGATTCCTCCAGATGGCCAGGGGGATTCTCTGAATGAATTTTCTCTCAGAGATCATTCTCTGATTTCAGAATTGCAGCATTATTGAGCAAATGCTGAGGTGAAGGCCACAGACCACGCTGCTGGTAAGGTCCATGGAGGCGGACCTTGATGCTTGAATCACAGTTGCAGACACCATCATTAGTTTGCAATGTGCCGGAAGTTCTGTTTCCCATACATGGTGTGTGTGTGTGTGTGTGTGTGTGTGTGTGTGTGTGTGTAAGTCTGCTGCCACAATAATAGGTCCACCAGCAATCTGGTGCATTGCACTCTGGGAAAATAAATAGGGACCTTCCTCCCAAGGGGATAGCACTCACCCAAATGTCCAGGTGGAGCACTTTGGCTGCAAATGCAATTTTAGTTCTTATGTGCACAGCAGCCTGAAAGGTCTGCTACTGTCAATCCCAGACCCTCTAAGTATCCCTATTTTCCAGGGACAGTCCTAGATTTACAGAAGCCATATTGGTTTCTGATTTGATCCTAGAATGTCCCGCTTTTCCTTAGGACGTCCATATTTTCACCGGAGAAATGTTGGAGGGTATGGAGTTATGTGACCCTTGAGCCAAGGAGATAAATAACTACAGAACCTTTAAAAGACATCTGAAGGCAGCCCCATATAGGGAAGGTTGTTAATGTTTTCTTATGTTGTTATATGTTGGAAGGCTCCCAGAGTGGCTAGGGTAGGCCAGTCAGGTGGGCAGGGTATAAATAATAAAATGGTTGTTGTTGTTGTTGTTGTTGTTGTTGTTGTTATATAGGATGTCCCCATTTTCACTGTGGAAATGTTAGAGGGTATGGACTCCAGCTGTCTCATCACAACATTTAGGCTTCTCAGCATGTGATGCAATGGCTAACAAGCGAAGCATCTATTATAGGTGGGCCCAAGCTTAATATGACAATGTGCTCACTCAGTGTGAACGGAGGTGGCAAAATTCTCAAGTGGTGAGATCAAATTCTTGGAACATAACTGAGAGCTCTTTCATTCTGTTTTCATGCTCCACGCTCCCCTGAGCTGTAGGAAGTTCTCAGAACAGCAGGAACCATTTCCTTTTGAGGACAGAGTTCTGCATAAGAGTTAGCATGCCTTTTGTAACTAACTATTTATAAATGTGCAGGTTGAGCAGAGGGGGAGTAAACATGCTCACACGAAGGCCTTGCTCAGTGCCAAAAATAGTGCCAGTCCCTAAAAGCAATAGCATCGCCCAAGACTGTTTCTTGCCCGCCAGATACAAAACGAAAGACTTCTTTCCCTGATCAGTCTTAAACTGCCAAGCTTTCTCTCTGAATCCATGCACGACAAAAACTTTCTGTGGCTTGCAGTAGCCACCCTCCACCTAAGGTTGTTAAGGCTGCAGTAACATATCCACTTACCCCAAAGAGGGTGAGCCCCATTGATTTTGATGAGACCACAGGGCCTAGGACTTAGAATCATAGAATCATAGAGTTGGAAGAGACCACAAGGGCCATCGAGTCCAACCCCCTGCCAAGCAGGAAACACCATCAGAGCACTCCTGACATATGGTTGTCAAGCCTCTGCTTAAAGACCTCCAAAGAAGGAGACTCCACCACACTCCTTGGCAGCAACCTTCTGCTGATCAGAAGGTTGGCGGTTCGAATCCCCACGACAGGGTGAGCTCCCATTGTTCGGTCCCTGCTCCTGCCCACCTAGCAGTTCGAAAGCACGTCAAAGTGCAAGTAGATAAATAGGTACCGCTCCAGCGGGAAGGTAAACGGCGTTTCCATGCATTGCTCTGGTTCGCCAGAAGCAGCTTAGTCATGCTGTACGCCAGCTCCCTCGGCCAATAAAGCGAGATGAGCGCCGCAACCCCAAAGTCGGCCACGACTGGACCTAATGGTCAGGGGTCCCTTTATCTTTACCTTTACATATGAGTAGACTTCTACATAGGGATGGAGGAGAAATTCAATTCCGTTCACATTTAAAGGCAAGCCCACCTAATTCACACTTTCTGAACCATAGCTATTTTTCAAAATTTGCACGTCTCCAGGTTTTGGAAAGCAGTTCTGCAGTCAAGTAATGTGTACAAAATGCACATGCTAGAGTAAAAATCCATAGAATCATAGAACTGTACAGTTGGAAGGGACCACAAATATCATCTAGTCCAACCCCCTGCAATGCAAGAATCTTTCACCCAATGTGGGGCTCGAACCCGTAACCCTGGGATTAAGAGTCTCATGCTCTACCGACTGAGCTATAGTAGTGAAAAGAACATTCAACACAGTCAAATGGGCAGCATAGAAATTATACATTATTATTACTACAGAATGCATTATATTAGGGGAAAGTGTTTTGCGAAAAGGTGGATATTAGGCAAAATTGCATACAAACGCTTATATTAGGAGAAATTTGATCGAAAATGCTGATGAGTTTTCATAAGGACTTGGGGGGAAATTGCAGACTGGTATGGAAATGTGGAGAACTGAATTTAAAAGTAGAAAATGAAAAATAATAATGAGAGAAACTGATTACTTGTATAGCAGTGTACTGTAAGCGAGCATTTTTGGCTGTACAAAAAGCTGGAAGTGCAATGACTATTGTACAAAGCGGCAGTTTACATCTAGACATATTACGAAATATCATAGCGCCTTGTCTTACAATATGAACCTACATTACGTATACAGTAATTCATATCTTAAATATGAAGTGAGGAATTTCCCCAGCCCTCTAAGTGCTTCGCTGGTGAGGATTAAGATAGGCTTTCAGTTGGGTGGGAGAAATAATAATAATAATAATAATAATAATAATAATAATAATAATAATTTATTATTTGTACCCCGCCCATCTGGCTGGGTTTCCCCAGCCACTCTGGGAGGCTTCCACAGAGACCAAAAATACACTAAAATGTCACACATTAAAAACTTCCCTGAACAGGGCTGCCTTAAGATGTCTTCTGAATGTCAGGTAGTTGTTTATCGCTTTGACATCTGATGGGAGGGCGTTCCACAGGGCGGGCGCCACTACCAAGAAGGCCCTCTGCCTGGTTCCCTGTAGCTTTGCTTCTCACAATGAGGGAACCGCCAGAAGGCCCTCAGCGCTGGACCTCAGCGTCCGGGCAGAACGATGGGGTGGAGTCGCTCCTTCAGGTATACTGGGCCGAGGCTGTTTAGGGCTTTAAAGGTTGGCACCAACACTTTGAATTGTGCTCGGAAATGTACTGGGAGCCAATGTAGGTCTTTCAAGACCGGTGTTATGTGGTCTTGGCGGCTACCCCCAGTCACCAGTCTAGCTGCTGCATTCTGGATTAGTTGTAGTTTCCGGGTCACCTTCAAAGGTAGCCCCACATAGAGCGCATTGCAGTAGTCCAAGTGGGAGATAACTAGAGCATGCACCACTCTGGCGAGACAGTCAGCAGGCAGGTAGGGTCTCAGCCTGCGTACCAGGTGGAGCTGGTAGACAGCTGCCCTGGATACAGAATTGACCTGCGCCTCCATGGACAGCTGTGAGAAAGTTGGAGGTTCAGGGGGTGTAGGTGGGGAATGAAAATAGGAAAAATATTTCCTATTTTCTGGGGAAAACATTTCAGAACATTCTGAACTAGTATGAGGAAGATGCTGGGGCCTCCCATCACTACTTACAACATATCATTTCAGGAAATGTCAATGCATAAGTTTCCTTACTGAGCCTTGTTTCATTTCATTTCCTTACTCTCTTTCATACTACACTCACTGTCCATATTTTTAGGACAGATAATATGCAGAGCACCCAGTGCCTTACCCCCCCCCCGGAACATACAATAATAAATAATGTGGCACTAATGGGAAAAACTGATCCAAAAAAGGATTTGAATTTCCTTCCTTCTGCTTGGACAAAAGTGAGGGATTGCCATTGAAAAAAACTGCACGATAAATAATCTTGTAGCACCACCAAGTGATGAAAATAACACAAAACAAATTTTGCATCATTTTGCATGCAGTTGTATGTATGCTTACATGGGAATAACCATCCCTGAGTTCAGTAAGATTTGTTTCCAATTGAATATGCTGGATGGATGGCTTTCTGGACTAAGACAGAGTATCAAATTTGTTTGCTAAAAAAAAAAAAATGGCCATCAAAAAGCTACTAAGACTCAAACTGAGAACACAGGATGTCTGCAGCATATTGGACCCCATTTTTGCAATAATTATTGGTCTGCTAGAGCAAACATGGAAACTTTAGACATAACATATCATCTATCTATCATCTATCTATCATCTATCTATCTATCATCCATCTATCTATCTATCTATCTATCTATCATCTATCTATCTATCTATCTATCATCTATCTATCTATCATCTCTCAACTGGTTTTCCCCTACTGTTTAAAAAGAGAGGGCCCATGTTTGTAGTTGTTAGAGTTTCGAACTGAGACCAGGGTTCAAATTCCCTCTGGGCCATGAAGCTTACTGAGTGACCTTGGGCCAGTCACTGCCTCTCATCTTAACCTATCTCACAGAGTTGTTGTAGGGATTACATAAGGAGCGGGAGAACCTTGTGCTTGTACAGTGGTACCTCAAGTTAAGAACTTAATTCGTTCCGGAGGTCCGTTCTTAACCTGAAACTGTTCTTAACCTGAGGTACCACTTTAGCTAATGGGGCCTCCCGCTGCCGCTGTGCTGCTGGCTCGCAATTTCTGTTCTCATCCTGAGGTAAAGTTCTTAACCTCAGGTACTACTTCTGGGTTAGCAGAGTCTGTAACCTGAAGCGTTTGTAACCCAAGGTACCACTGTACAACCTCGAGCTTCTTGGAGACAAGAGTGGGATTTAAATTCAATAAATAAACAAACAGCTAGGAAATGGTTGGGAGAATCTCTTTAAAAACAAACAAACAAATAAACCTTATCCCTAGGGGATTATACAGGAGTTAATATAATATTACACAGTGAACAATATTTTGCAAAAATTCAGAGGTGTTCCACCATATCGCTCCTCTTGGTCACATCCATACCATCTGTTAAAATCACTCTTCATAACTTCTTCCAAAGACCCCCGCTAATTGTAGTTCATTAAAGGTGTTTTGTTCACAGAGCTACAAACTACAGTTCCCAAGAATCTTCATGGCTGCCAAACTGGTATAAGAGTGTTTTAAATGTATGTTGTGGGTGTGACCTAAATATGCTGTGGGCACTATTAGGAATCTCCAAGCAGTAAATGCTTTCCCCATCGCATTCCATATTTTAAGAATAATGAGAACGCTGTCTTTACATAAGAGATACTTGGGGTGCTGTAAGCAGTCAAGAGTTGTATAATGCAGTCTCTGTGACTCAAGTAAGAGATTTAGCAAACTGGCTATAGGCTTTACAGTTCTTGACAGTCTCTACCCCCCACCGCAAAAAAAAAGGAGACTCATTGTGTTTGGGTATTGTGCAGGTGCGATTTTGCTCAAGGGGCTACTTGTGTGTGTGTGTGTGTGTGTGTGTGTGTGTGTGGTCATGAATCATCTGTACTGATCTGTGTGATTTCTTGAAGCAAAAGCCTGACAGCAGCACTTGGGTGTTTGGAAGTTTGTGCAATGGAAATTGTCATATCGAGGCAATTCCAGGAAGGCCTGAAGTGCATCATATTTAATCTGCTGTCAGACAAAGAGTTTTTTCTCTCCTTTAGCTACAATAGCTCTGTTAGTCAGAAGCAAGCACATTAACATTTTTATATAAGGCATGGGTGCTGTGCCCCCGTTCGCTCCACTCACCGAGCCCCTCCCCTCTCCCCCATCCTTACACGGTAACCTATTAGATTTTCCACTTTCCACCTTATGCCGCTGCGGTTCCACATCCTGACACTCTCTGGCCTGTTACCTCTGGGTGTCTTCTTCATCCCCAGCCACTGCTCCTTCTGCTCCTCACGTTGTTTCATGCTGAAACAAAACCCTGAAGCTCAAAGTGTCATGGGGGCCCCTTCACAGCAAGATCTGGTTAACCACGGTTATCTTCTTCAGTGAGGTTGTTCCACGACAGATCACCACACTGTTACAACATCTGTGCTACTGACCTTCAGACTTTGGGATTGTTAAAATAAAATAAAATAAAATAGCAATTTGACCCAAATCAGGTCTACTGGACCCATTTTTTAAAATAAAATATAACAACAACAACAACAACAATAGTAATAATAATAATAATGTGAACCAAAGTTTCTTCTGGGGCCCCTCTGGGGCCCTGAAGTTTAAGTTTCATAAGTTTCATAGGAGATCAACCCCTTATCAAAAAGTGGTGTACCCTTTCGTTGGTGGACTTTGGGGCCTCAAATTTTAGCTGTGCCCTGTGCAACCCTCAAATTTGGTGCCCCCAGCCTTCCACTTTCCATTCTTCATCATAGTTGTGGCACCCCCTGCAGCGCCCCCGAGACTCTGCACCCAGTGCAACTGAACTGGTCACGCTCCCCTAGATCTGCCTCTGATCCTTTTGGTAGGATTGCCAAATATTATTTTATTTCAGGCCAATTTAGGTTTGCAGCCATAGCTACGAATAAATCTGGCCTCCCTTTTTCATGTGTGGTAGCCAGTGCTTTTTCTCTCTCTAGAAAAATAGGTACCGGAACTCACCATGAAGTTGTTACAGTAAGTGCCACACTTTTTAACAACAAAAATGAGGTGCCAGGACTAAAAGCACTGGTGACAGCTCTTCCATCTCAATACAGGAAATGCAAGGCCAATGGTGTTCCTTTGAATGAAGGTATTAGCAAGCACATGTTTCTGAGTTGTTTTTTTCCTGATGGATCAGCTATGCCATGAGGCATATGATCTGCCGGTCCGTGGAATGTCTCTGCTCTGAATAGACTTTGCCTTTGTCTGACATAATTAAAATGATTCCATTCCACTGCAATATCTGCATTAGTCACATACTGTTGTGCTAATTTTCCACCTTTAGTGGGTTAAAAATATCTCCCCTAATTGCTAACCCGTAGCCATAATAGTGAACTGCCAAGATTTTTGTGTGTGGATTCTTTGGATAGGTGAACTCAAAGGAATATCCATGGCTACCGGATAGGAAAAACAGTGGTAATATCATTGGTTTGAGATGTGGTGATCCTTTCTACATAGTGGTGCTTTTGTATTTATGTGAAATTAAGGTGCTTAAGGCACTTCATGTTCTAGTCTCGTAATATTCCAGCCGCAATATTTGCCACTGTTGTCATTAGATGGAAATGTCAAGAATATTAAATGTACCTCATCCAAATCCATTTCTTTATACACTACATATAACGTTCTATAGATTATATCTCCTGC